TCGACTTGTTACTACGTTTTTCTTCTTTTTGTTTTTTATCTTCTGAAACATATTTGGAAACCGCTGTTTTAATGAATACCCACACCAGAGATCTCACACAACGGAATTTGATTTGACAACACAACAAATTAACTACAATAATACGATAGGACTTTTATTTAAAATATTTAAAATATTCAAGAGAACACTTACCGCCCTAATGAAACTAAAGCCTCACTGAATAACTGAACCACACAGACGTTAATAAAGTGCCAAAGTAACCGATCAACATGGCGGACATTTAAGCCCTAATATTTTATTCATGATATTAATAACCCCGTACATTAATATAATGTAGCGTGTTCGTTGTAATAATAACATTGTTCATTGTCACAATGTACAACTCATTAATCAATGATTTAGTACATTATAATATAATGAATATGTGTTTATTAAAGTTTCAGCACTAAAATTATATTAATAAAAATCTTACATTAATTTAATAACCAGATTTTCATTATATTGATGAAATTAGATTCATAGTATTAATAAATCGGACATCGATCTATGATTAACAAATCATTATATTAATGAAAAAAATCATTGTCCCAATGAAACAACAGTTAATAATCAATGTTCATTAATATTATGAACAATATTTTTTTCAGTGTACATACAACTAGAATATTTTTAATCCATTTCCGGCTCTATCCGAACTAAATGAAAACAGACAACTTCCCATAACACTGTTTTTTTTTCGATCGTAGGGTATTTTCTAATTCATGTTAGTTCAGACTTCAAAAGCTTGATTTTGAAAAGTTGGGAAATAAAACATTAATTCACTATAATGTTACGTTTTTCGTCGGTTCCGTGTGGATAGAAAGTCTAATTTATTTAAACACAATTTATTTTACACTAAGTAGCAAAACAATAACGATAAAACTACTTAAAGAACTATTTACAACTTATTGACTATTTATCTAACTATTTATCTAAAAGGAATTTATTTTGAATTTAGCGCGGCAACTGTACAGGGTGGATCAAATTTGACGCTTTTAAATGAAAACACCCTTTTCTATAGGAGATAGACAAAAAACTAATATCGGTGTCTGGAACTCAATTTTTGTCAAAAGCATGGTGGTAAAACCGCATATCGATATCTGTTACCGTTTCGGAGTTACGGGGTGTTTTTCAAAAATATGCATTTTTAACAAATCGTTGTAACTTTTTTGCTATGGAAAGTTTTGTATTTTTATGAAAACATTTCCAAAGCACCTTTTACGTAGAATTTAATGGTTTAAGTATAATTTTGTTTAAAATTAATAATTTAAGAATTATCAACAGAAAATTAGATTTTATATGAGACACCTATATATATCTTTAATTTATTGAAAATAATTTAAAATTACCTTTCCAAAAATATAACACACTTGTTACGATATTTTGCTGGATTCCTCTTCGAGATATAGAGTATACAAAAATTCGCCCGCTTTAAATAAGTAGGCTTTGAATGGCACCGGCTGTAATGCAAAAAATTCTAGCTGTGAGCATTTGCAGAATAGTCATCATTTCCATGACCATCTCGAGAGATACAGTCACCCTAGACAGTGTGGGATTCGAAATACCCATTAAAAACGATCCACCTCCGAGGAATCAGCGGCCGAAGAGTGGCAGCTCTTATTCCTGCTTATGTGTTGGGGAAGGGAGGGGCGAAGCCCTGGGTGCCTGAAGGCTAGTATTAGGATGCGAGATTTAGGAGCGACTGGACACTACGTCCAGAAGAGGTTTGTGATTGTCCGGAAGACAGTTTTGGGAGGGGGATTTGGTGCCAAAGAAAAAGCCGCTTTGGTGCCAAAGTGCCAAAGGAGATTAGATCATAGGGTGTAACATACTTGTAAGTATGTTTGAAACCATGGTTTTGACATGACTGGCTACTTGTTCAAGTAGTTGTTTATGGAGTTCTTGGTTTATTGAAGAGATGGGTAGGTATGACTCAGGGGTATTTCCTTGAGGCGAGTTGTTGAGATTGCTTTTGAGCACTGAAGCATAAAGTGTAGGATTTGGAGGGATAGAGGTCGGGACCTTTGAGGGTTCCGGCTGACTAAGGATGTTAGTATTGGGATTACGATTTCTCGGATTTTTTGGGCATGAATTTAATTTAGGCTGGCTGGATGCGGACCTCCGCAATTTGAACAAATTGCAGGTGCATCAGCCTCTTTGTCACAGGATTTGGTGTGATGGGATTTGGCGCACCTCACGCAACGCGGGGCCGCAAAGCAGTTCGAGGCGGCATGGCCGAATTGCTGGCAATTGTGGCACTGACGTACCCCATTACCGCGCCTCGGCGAACCTCACCCACCTCATCACCACCCGAACCCTCAGCGAACCCACATGCGTGATGTCGAAGATGTGTGTTTGGTGTTTGGGTACTCTGACCTTGACGACGGCCATAGGAATACCGTTTCGTGAGAGACGATGCATTTCTCTGACCTCGAAGCCTTGGGAAGTAAGGTCTTCAATTATTGCCGAGTTGTCGACAAAAACTTCTACACCTTTGATTAGACATTTAGATCCCTGTCTTCAGGGGAAGAATAAGTATGGAAGGGTATTTTCTTACTTTTGAAATAGTCGACGATGGCCCTATGGTCATCAGAGGAAGAGGGAGTGATTCTAATGCCGAGAGGCACAGTTTTTGCTTCTGAAAAGCAGATTTTCTGTTTCTTTGAAAGTTCTTGTGATGCTCATCTAGAGACGAGTATCACGAAGTACGACTTGGGGAGGCTTTGGTTTTAGATTGCGGTTCCTGCTGTGTTTGAGGAACAGCAGGGAGAGTTTTAGGTCGTGCCACCTGCTGCGTTTGAAGAACAGCAGGGGGGGTTTTGGGATGGGACGCCTGTTGCGTTTGAGGAGCAACGGCGGGAGGGATTTTCGATTTTAGGGACCTGACGTTCCGGGCAATCGGCCTTATTTTTATCGGGATTTGCACCTGATGATGATGTGATGGGTGAGGATGGTGGTCGAGCTGGGGAAGCCTCCCTTGAGGCTAACTTTATCTCTGGGGTCGCAAGAGACTCGTCAGAACTGGCCTGACGCGTCTTCTTAATGATAACGTTTCTACTGAAGCTTATTTCGTTAGGAGTGATTTTATGACGCTCAAGAATTGATCGAACTAGATTTTTCTTTTCTCTAAAGAAATGATAGGAGTAGATTAGGTCTTGGATTTCGTCAAGGGAGTAATCCCTTGACCGATCAAGCCTGATGAATGGATCAGGATGGGTTGCGATCGACAGGAAATAATATGGGTTCGGAATCAGAACATAAGGAATCTGAATCTAAAGGAGTTTTTTCTAATCTCGGGAGATTAGCCTTATTTTTCTTGGGAGCCATGATAAGCGATTGGGAAAAAGGAGAAACGACTCTTGGAGAGGGCCGTATTGAGCGGAGCTTGCTCTGAAGCGTCGAGCAAGCTTGTGATGCAAGGAAGCACTTACCGAGCGCGAGGCACTACCGAGCGCGAGGCACTACCGAGCGCGAAACACTATGAGAGCTGCGATGTTCACTGAACGATGCGCAGCATTCGAATCTACTGATCACTGACGATCACTGATGGTTTTTAAAAATGTTTGCGGACCAAACTTTTATTGACATCGGGCCAATGAATAATTTCCCCAATCAGCTTGATATACTGATGATGTTGCCCGTATTACTCATCAAGCAATACTACTGTGATATTAATCTATTAAGGCGGGTTAAACAAACATAATATGTACAATTTTATATATACTAATTCATTATAATAAAACTAAATAATCAAAATATGTAATTATATTCCTGCAGATTAAGTGAAAAATGTTGTTTTTAAATATCTGCTCTACATATTATATTGCTCTACATATCTTACTGCTCTATCTATTATATTAATCTTGTGGAGTAAATATCAACACAAAACGAGATGTAATTAACGAAATATCATCGTAACAACAAATATTCTAGAAATGTCTAGGTTTACTTATTTCACTGAGATTTATGAAAAAAAATCATTGCCTCGAGGACAGATACCGCCACGTTTTGATAACAGCTCGAAGCGAAACGAGAAATTGAACGAGACAACAGGAAACGCCAAAAAAATGTGCCTGAAACGTCGCATAAAAAGTTTCCATCTTTCAATTTATTTAAAAAAAATCTCATACCCAAGAAAAGGAAAAAAATATATGGATAATAAATATAAGGAATACTATAAATACCGGGTGCGTCTCAAAAGGGGCTCACCTCTATAACTTTTTTTTTTCAGATAAAAAACGAGACTTGGTATCTTAGTATATGATATAAATTAGGATTGATTGACGTATTCAATTGTTTTTGATTACATCCTGTTTTACCGGAATATTTTTTTACTTTATTCGATAAAAAATGAGACTCGATTGAGAGAATAGATTGACATCCTATGTCAACTTTTGACATTTTCGCATATGGTTAATTTGAAACTGTAACATGCAGTGCATCACGACAATTTTACTCGAAATACCAAGTGTGTATAGTACCAAATTATTCCTAAAATTGTATTTTCCAACTATGCTAAAGAGCTACGGGCCGGCCAGGACGAGACACGAAAAATATTAGACGATCACATCTATTTTTTCAGGGCTCCTTGATTAAAAATTAGTGCTTTTAACACATGCACTCTAGATTGAAATTTGAAATAAGATTTTTTTAAGCGAAAATGCCAAAAGTAACCATATGATATGTCATTCTTTTCAAAGTGTTAATTTTCTATCAAATAAAGTAAAAATATACCGAGGGTACCGTTAAAAAAGTTGTAGTCATTTCCAGTGAAACAGGAAATGCCCAAAAACAATCGAATACGTCAATCAATCCTAATTTATGTCATATTGTACTAACATACCAAATCTCATTTTTTTTCTAAAGAAATAAAAAAGTTAGTAGTACTTTTGAGACGTAAGTACTTTTGAGAAGCACCCAGTATATAGATATACTTATTAAAAGTAATATAAGAAACTTACCATTGTATATACTATGTATATAGTAGTTATACTATATGCAATATTATCAAGCAATTTTGTCAAATACATAGTTATCCAAAGAGTTAGCACTTGATTAGAAACTATTAAAATTAACAGAAGTAGTTGTTTTCCAAATAAAATATTAAATAAATCCACACAATTAATTATATTCATATATAATTCTCTAGCAGTTCTTATCATTTGTTTAGTATCTATCGTATAGAAACTTCCCATTAATATTTTATGGATATCTTCAATTTTATCTTTAAAATACAATGATATGTATATGATTAAATAACTTATAACTGTAGAATGGTAAAAGAATACGGTGTACGGAATAAGGAAATACCCTGCTTCTTCATTGTCGCGATACCACAACAAATCCAAAATATAATTTATGAAAACGATAGATGTTAAAACTATAAATATAAAAATTTTTTTTTTTTTTTTTTTTTTTTTCGTTATACTAAGATAAATCATATACTTATCACCCTCAAGATAATGGCAGATTCGAAAAAAGGATTTACATACTTTAAATTTTAAGAAATATCCATCAACTATGCTGAATAGTAGATTTATAAAACCGAAAATATATTTAACACTGATAATACGGATGCTAGAATTTCACCTGTATACAATTCAGAACCTACATAAATATTATATGCAAAAAACAAATATAAATTAAGCAGGCGTACATTAGTAAACCCCTAGAAATAAATATCACGATGTTCAACTTTTCTGGTTTTTAAAATTGTAATTTGGCACCATACCGAAAAATCTTAAACATTTAAAAATGTTAGCCAAGAAAGAGATTTCTTTTCTGTTAGATCGTACAAAGACACATTTTTTTAACACCGATAACATGTATATGAACTTTAGATTCATACTTTTTGGAACTAACTCATTGCGTGGAATTTAGTATAAGAATGACCACTAACTTAATGAAAAACGATAATGGATTAAATAGATTGTTTACTGTTATATAGTAAGTACTTTTGATATTAACTAATTAATAAGATGAATGAAGTGGTGATAGGTAATATATTGATTATGTTTATGTCTATCGACTAATTTTTTATAGGTGTTAGTAAATAAGTTATAGTAAAAAGGCCGAAGGAGGAAACATTACACGTTAAAGAAACAGAACTGACAATTTTTTTTGTACATTCAAGTAATATCCCATACAGCACATCTAATCACATTTACGATGTGTTTACATTATTAGATGTAGACACAGGGTGATACAATTCCCCGATGTAAATATGCAACGTTTACACATTGTAGTTCAACACGTATGCACAAGGTTAAACGTCCGCCTCACAATGTAGCCACAGTATAGCATTTATGTATACACAAAGTAAGGGATACACAGTGAGCCGTAGGATACACAGTGCTTGTGTATTACGTTTAAACTATGTTTACACATTGCAGTTGTGAATACCGCGTGTATACATATGTATTTTGCTTCATCTTTTGCTATAAAACTACTTCTTACTCTCTCGACAGATTTAGGAAATATTACAGAAGTTTTTGATGCCTAACTTTTCGTTCTTTTTTAAGAAATATTTATTCAATGATACCAATTATATCTTTTAGAACGAAAATTAAGAATGGAAAACTTTGTATTTTCTAAAAACAACTCTCAATCGTAAAGTTTCAAAGAGGATAAGTGGCCTTAAAATTGTTCCATTTGTTTTGTATTAAATGTACCATTTTTCTTCCATAAAATGGACTACGGGGTTAAAATAAAATTCTTATATTTCTTTATATCATGGAACGCAATAACAAAATAACTTTTATGTAATAATTATTACACAGGAAACCAGAAGTAAGAAAACAGTGTAAAAGAACAGAATTTGTATATCAAAATGTATTAAAAATATAAGTACCTAGTATAACAACATACTAAAATGGTAAACACTGAATATATCTTACGATTTGGTGGACCTCGTTTTGTCATTTTTTTCTCCTCTTTCCCTCCAAGCAGTTGGTTTATTAGCATACTCATTCATCGAGCACTTTGTTGGACTTTGTTGTATTTTATTTCCAAAGTGTTAACAATCTCACCCTTTAAATTTATATGAAAATGAATATTAAACATATCTGTATATCGATTCATCAATAACTTACCGAATATCAGTGTAGAAGTTCTTTTAATTGTTTAAATCTTTCTCTGAAATTCATTTAGATTTTCATTATTTCCAAATTAAAAAAATGATTGTAGAACCTCAGCTAACCTCTTTATTATTATACGAGAATATTTGGAGTTTTCATTCATTGGTATCAAAATTTGGTAAATTGTGTATCGAGTAAGGGAAGAGTCGCTGCTATAATATTAATACTCTTAGGAAGGTGTAACAAGGTAGTTAAAAACTTGTACTTACGCCAAAATCTCTTTAAACTACACACAAACAGAACATTTACATGGAGCTTTCGAATGATAAAATAATAATGGCTGCTAACACATGCCACTCCTAGAAAGGAGAAAGGAGAGGGACACATAAGACACACTTGGTCGGTGTATCTACGCTGAGGCTATCCGCGCATGCACACCTTCATTTCATGATAGAATGTAGACACAACAGTACACTATTACAAAGTGTCTATATAGATAATTTTTAATGCATACGGTATACAACTAGTAAACACTGTATCACAATTCTATCAATATAAACCTGCGTGTATCTCATGTATATGTTAGAACTAGATGAATACTTAGGTTCACATTAACATGTATTGTTTTTCTCAAATAAAAGACTCCTTGGCCTAGAAACGTAATTTCATTTGGATGTGCTATATGGGATTTTACATCCTTAAAATATACAGTTTAATTGAAGCTAAAATAATTTTGGAATTCCATTGTCTTTATTTATTTTTTGATTAACATAACATTTCGGTCAAGAAGATCACTGACCGCTATCGAGTACTCTAAACTAATCTAATTCCTAAAATTACTGAGCTTTTATACCACATCCAGGCAATTCCAGGTAACCTGTGAATAAGTTGGGTGCAGTCAACCGTGAGGTTGTCCACTCAGAATGGTTGCATTGGTTTAATAATTGTTTAATGAGTGGTTGCCATATTGTATATATTTCCGTACTAGGATTGTTAAAGATTATAACGCCACCTTGGGTGAAAAAGTTTATAATGGGAACTCAGGCAGGGTTGCCATATTTAGAAGAAGAAAAAGCGGGACGCACTGAATGACCGCCGGAGGTGAAAATGTTTGGGTGCCACGCCCAAAAATGTTTATTTTAATATCTTAAATAATAATTTATTGAGGGATTGTGGTATAAAAAATGTTTTAAAATGAGAAAATACACAAGCACTAAACGAAAATATAATAAAACATATTAACATTATTTATATTTTGGTAAAATAAGATAGTATAGGTAGTGGTGTTTTTTATCAACAAAGGGATAATATAAAGTTAACATGATTGCTAAGAAATTATAATAAATGCTGACGATAACCACTATTACCGATTATTCTCAGGTCCGTACTCAAGAAAACCCCCGATGTTGGCCATTTTTGTTACCAGACGTCTGTAAAATATATTTTAAAAAATTATTATTCAAAAAAAATAAAATAAGTTTTTTTTTTTTTTAAAAAAGTTTTTGGTGAATTTTCCAAGTAGCATATTTACGTAGAAAAAGAAAAACTACAAAATTTTGCACAAAACTTATGATTCTATAATTATTAATAGTTTTGAGTTACATTTTTTTTAATAAAATAAATATTTACACATTTGTACATATTTCTATATTGGAAACAAATGAAATTTTTGCAACTCTGTAAACGTAACTTTATTGAGCACAAAAATACGCAACTTTTTTCTAATTTAACAAAACCCTCGTATCTTTTGTTAGTTATTCTGTATATGAAAATAGTTTAATATACCTACTCTCTTTTCTTTTATTTTTTGCAAAATGGAACACGCAGCCGCCGCTGTATTTTCCCAGGAAAAGTTCTTGATTTTTTTTTAACATCTAATTTAACACCGTTGTCAAATTCTCGGGAATTTCCGTCATTGACGACATTGACCACATCATCTTCATCTTCAAAAACACCACAATTTACCCCTAGCCAGTCAATCTCATCAGAGGACACTGAGGAATCTGAATCATTTGTTGCAAAAAAAAAAAAAGATTAACCTATAATTATATAATTACGTATAATATTAAAATGTACGTAATATGCAGCAAATTAACTCAACATAACGCGTTTGATCTCGGGTAAAGCACTCACTGCACGGACCACGGACACGGAGCAAGGAGCAAGTACACCTTCTACCTTCTGTGAAGTACACCAAACACCAAAGTACAAGTACACCACAGAACAGAGGTACACTACAACAAGGTCTTTTAAAATTAAAAAAAAGGCCTTCACGACAAAACGTAAGCGACAAGCGACTAAATCCCGTGAAAGAAAAAGAAGAAGAATCAGTAAGGTGTGATGCATCGATATGTCATGTATTTAAACCGTCGATACTTGAAACGGTGAGGCGAACACGAGGCGATAACAGAGTTTACGCATGATGCCATTGTCTCCTACTATCGTGGCGAAGGAAGATTTTGGGAATTTGAAAGCAGAGAACTAGATGCGGGACAAATCGGGACAGTCTCGGGCCGCGGGACATATCAGGACACATCGATTAAAATCGGGACAGTCCTGATCTGGCTGTTTCGGACCAGGTTTTGTTACAAATAGGTTCCAGCTAGCTCAGTAAATCATTAAGTAAAATATACCGCGCTGGCAAAAAAACATTAGCAATAGGAGGTTTTCAATGCGATAAAAAAAGATGTTAAGGCTGCAAAATATACTGCAGTGCAACAGAGATGGATAAAGAGTCTTTTCCCTACCATCTTTTAGGGGAAGTGATACGACGAGCGAGCCTCTGCGAGAGGGGGCGAGTCTTTAAGACGTTTGTGTGGGGACTACTAGTAATAGAATAGAATAGAAAATAGAATCAGTATCAGTCAGATGTCGGTGTGGTGATTATTAATCGCATTTTCAGTTAATAATATGTTTTACTATCATGTTACTCCCTGTTGTATTTAATGCAACAGTGCTTTAAACTTAGTTGAATTTTTATCATCCTTAAGCCTAAAATTGAAATAAAA